GGGGGGAGACCCGACATTGCCTGCTCGCAGCCCCACATTAGAAGGCCGGAGCCAATCAGAGAGCTGGAGCTGAAACTCACCGACCAATCGCCATCCCTCCACTCCGCCCACCGCGCATTGTCAAAACACAAAACTTTTCCTTGACCTATTTGAAGCGGTGTCCGCTGCACTGAAGGGAAATAATGCCACCAGTCGGGTTACTGCTGCTACTGCACCTCCAGTGAAAACCTTGAAGGGAGCCGAGCAGCACTCCCTCCCCTCCTCCCCTGGGAGACGATCTAAACGGCGTTTGTTGACTGGTTCAAAAAAAAAAAAAAAAAATCAGACTGATGTTGAAGGTGTTGATCAGTGATCTCCCATAAGGCAGCTCGTTCAGTTCAAAGTGTGGCAGCGATGAACATTATTTCACATTTTACATAAATCACATTTTTTGGCACAAAGACTCACTTTGCCATGTCGACACAATGCCTGAAATCAGCCTTCCACATGGTCTGACCTTCACCTTTAAACCCTCATCTGCAATGAAAATGCACTTTAACAGCTTCGGCAAATCCAGCTGCACCTCCTAATGATATTAAACAGGCGTTGCACATCAGCTCCCTCCACTTTGCCCCTCTCTCTCACCCCCCTTTTGTGTTGCGCCTGTGCCGCAACAGATGGTGCACACAATGGGTTTTTCCCTGCAGGGACACAGAGGACCAGGGTCTGCTTCAGAAGAGGAAGGGGCATTTGCCGCCCTGTAGCCCACAACCATACACCTGTCTTGGACTAGATCTGTTCCCTCCCGCCCCCCCCATCACGTCCCTGGAGCTGAAGAATTGGGATGGAGTTGTTAATCTGCAGCCTGAGTGGGCCTGGTTTTACCCCGGGCCACTGGATGGCCTAATACTTCAGAGTTGTCCCTTCACAGCACACTGGCCCAGATTTTTCCTTTTTTTTCTATTTCACCTGCTTTAGTTCTTGTGGAGTTAAAGAACACTGTGGATTTTAAGGTTTTAATATTAAATCTGTGTATTTTTTTCCCCTTCCAACAAACCTAAACTGTGATTCCACTCCTAACTTCTGGAATAACAAAACTCAAACACGCCGTAAATGAAAGGTGACTCACACTTAATAAATGGTTGTTCCACTAGTGGCAAAGGCCAGCTGATGAACTGGGGCAGACACAGGGCTTCAGGAGCATCAGGCAGCGGTTGCTAACCTGGGACAGCGGCTGATGAGAGCATTTGTCATTTTTAATGGTGCAGCGAGGAGTGGCGCTACAGTGTGGCACGGCACAAAACCCGGCACAGCGTGGCCCCTGGTGCTGGCTGGTTTTTGTAGGGCCTCTCATAGCCACCTGGCCTTATTTTTCACCGAGCCAGTCATCATCACCTACAACTCCACGGGTCATCTCCAAATACAGGAGAAATCTGTCTCTGTTTGCCGTCCACACCCTGGGGAGGAGGAAGGAAGGAAGAGTATGAGGGGAGGTAGGAACAATGGCGCTGCCGCTGTAGCACATCCTCCTTTACAATGCCGCACTCAGACAAGCAAGCACATACAATAACAGAAATGTGTGTGCAGTCGCTCACCCACACACAACTCTGATAATGATCCACACAAAGCCACACAAGCACTTGCCTACTTCAGTTTAAGAGCCTCAGCCCAATACCAATACTGAGCCCAAACACATTGTGGAGAGCCTCTCATTCTCTCTGTGGCCTGATTTTTTTTTTTTCTTTCTGCGTGGTTAAGCCTGCAAGTGCAGCCTCCCATTTCTATTTTCAATTCTGTAGTCTACGGCCAGATTAATGGCAAAATAAAACCTCACCGAGTGCATTATCTGACTCGTGTTTGATTAAATGTTTTTCTTTTTTTAACGCTCTGCGCTCTGTGAGTTGACCCTAAATGTACTGAGCTTTTGACCTGTGCGCATCCAAGAAGCGTCTAACTCTCCATGACCGATGTGCCGTGACCTTTACGTTTCTCCTCTCTGTCTACTATTTCCTGATTCCCATTTGGTTTCTGGAAGGGGAAGAAAGAAAAAAAAAAATGTTTTCCAGCGGAGCCAGGCAGGAAATACAAAAAGGTGTGTAGCTTGTTCTGTACACTGCCAACATTAAGAACAACAGAGGGAACCAGGTGTACACAAGGCAGACCTTTTCGGATGAAAATAAAGCAACGCACTCTATAGAGACGGCGATGTTTACTCAGATGCACACTCATTATTTAGATTTGCGGAACAGGAGCACATAAGAAAGGTATAGCCGGTGACAAGCCGGCAGTCGCAACCAAAAGAGGTGGATGATTATAATGACACAAAATAAGAACGGTGGATACGAACATAAAAGAAAGCGAGATGTTTCTCAGACGCGGCGGAAGCTGGGAAGGTTTGTCTCCAGGTGAATATGAATGCATGAAAATGAAATGCCTAAGTCAATATGGAGACAGTGCAGGGACTCAGGTGACAAAGGAGTGCAGTGCTTCCCCCACCCTGGGGGTATAGACTGGTTATTAGGCTAGGCTTTAGCTTCATCCATCTTCAGGAGTCTGTGCACCGGCCATTGACAATATGAGTACAGAGCCAGGGCTGAATACAGATGTGCTCTGGACCAGTGTTCCCCAAATAGAGGGTCACTGGCGAGTCCCAGGCACAGTTCTGGGTCACAGCTCAAGGGAGGTGATGGAAAATAGTTTCATCGCAGGGAATGCATGAAGTTGGGTAGCTTGCTTAAAAAAATGTATATTTTAAAGGCCTGGCAAGAGCCAGAGCTATACTGCAAAGTACAAACAAACTGTTTCTCTGCAGTGGAAGAAAAATGCAGTTCTGAAAAAATGCCCACTGCCCTCCAGATAGAGCACATTTAGCCAGATCTCTATATACAGTTTGAAGGTCAGCGTTGTGCTCGTGGCACAAACTTGGAATTAAGATGTTTTTCTGAGTTTCAGGAGTGGAATGAGCCTCTGACAGTAGGTCAGACAAGGAGACAGGGCAGGAGCTAAATACAGCAGTCTCATTAATCTGCCCGTGATGCCAAAACTGATGGTACCTGTTCACCGCTATCAGCACACCTCAGAGACATTCATTGCACTTCTCTGACACAGAGCCACACAGAAAAGACTGAAGACATGAAAACAGCCACACAGGCCCACGAAAGCCGACATGAAAATACCTGCTCACAGAACGGATTCAGCAGACGTTTGTGTTTTTGTGGGGGGTTGTATTAGACTTAATTTCTCCTTGTCGTGACTTGCAGCGAAAATCTTATTTGTTTTGAAGTATTGCAGTTTGATTAATAAGTCGTTATCTCACGGTAATTCTACTCAAGATTCGAGCTCTTTAGAATTAATCCAGACAACACAATGAGGGAGATTCGGCTCGGCATTAAAACAGCGAGAGCATCATTACGTTCATGAAGTGTGTGTGTTTGTGTATAAGAGAGACAGTGATTGTGATTTAATGCAAGCTAACAAGCCAGTGTTCCTTCTTGTATTTACTTTTGCACATGTGCTGTGTGGCTGATTCATACAACAGAATGATGGCTGATAGATTACTGCATCACCCTCCTCAGTCACTCCCTGATCTGTCAGCTGCCATGTGTTTTGTGCTGCTAGAAGCAAGCACGCCATCCATCTTTCAAAGAGGTGTCCAACAAAACAGCAGAGAAAACACAAAACTCAGGATCCAAAATCATGCGCAGACCCAATAACAATTCACTGATTAATTGTTTTTTTCTCGATGGCCGCGGTGATTAGGATGCGTTCGTTTGCTCATGATTAGGGATCTCTAATCACAGATGAGGTTAATGGGGTTCTTCGTTCGCTCACCGCTTTGTTTCTCGTGCAGCATTTAAGAAAGTTTCCTATTAACCGTGTGGCCTCAGCCCCCCTCCTCTGGTGTAATGCACCTTTCAATTTATGCGCCAACCTTTTCCACCTCCTTCAAAGGAGGCGCCTTGACAACAACAACATTTGACACATGGTAAATTGTTTTTTGTATCGCTGAACATGTTATCATGGGCCAGTCGACCGGAGAGGCTCATAAAGTAGTTTTCTGGCTACAAAAGCAATGTTTAGGAGGTGGACTTGTTAATGAGGAAAAACAAAACTGGGCTGACAGCTCATCACTTTGTGTCAGCTCCCAGTGACAGCCTATCCCACTCGTTTTTGTCGACTTGTTTGTCTCACGGGGACACTATCAAAATGCAGCCCCCCGTTTCCTCCGACCTGCCTCTTCCTCCCCTTCGCTGGCCTGTGACAGATAGTTGAGTACAATCTATCAACCTCAGTCTGCCTCAGTCAGGGCCGCCGCTTTGTAAAGCCACGTCTGGACAGAACGCACGCGCACACAACACAGCGCGCATCCCTGAGTCTGTCACACTAAATGGGATAAACATCTGGTGGAGGAGAGAGAAAGAGAAAAACTAAGGTCAAATCAATCTGCCCCCTGTCTGCCATACACTGATCCCCTGTCATATGTTGACCTCTGCAACAAATGAAACTCCAGCGCTGCATTTGAATACAAACACTGCGGCACTTCACTCTGGCTGGAACACGGTGGGTGAGAGCGAGTCGACTCACTGGTGGACTCCCATGTTTATTCAGTTGATCATTTACTGCAAGTGTCATAGAATAGAGTTCCATTATATACAGTTTTGTAATCATCAACTCAGTTCAACGATACCTTGACAGACATTTAGCTTTAAAATGCATCTTTGTGGTTGGAAAAGTCTCTTTTTTTTAAATTTAGTGCAAACTAGCCTTCCCAGACTCAATCCACAAACCTCTGTGTGTTCTATTCTGCTGAATCTACCAACAGAATAGCTCCCATGGAAAGTTTTTACACTTTCGAAAGCTATTAACTATTCATCAACTGGCCACTGAATGCTAATTACATCACAGCTGCTCCGAATACAGACAGAATCCAAAAAATTCTGCAGATACAATGCATACATATCAGTAATAGCAGAAGATGATATGCAATTTAAGCCTCAGTGTGCCTATCTCTTTAAGTCTAATTAATTTCATTATCTGAGACTGATTCAGTTTAATTAAAGTTGTGTTTGTTTTGCTTTGAGATGTTGCATAGTCTTTTCTTATTAATTGCTCCGCCGACAGAGTGTCGTATTTTGTGATTGCGTTTTGGCTTTTGGATTTGTTGTCGTGATTTGCCAATTTGTGATTTTTATGCTGCACAACGAGGTCACAAAGTTCTTGTTAAACACATGCAGCCGTAAAACGTTTTTTTCCATTTTAAACGTGGCCAAATCCACACGTCGTGTACGATGAAACACACATGGCCTGATTGGTTCAGGGAGTGATGATGTCTCAGAAAAGAACAAAAGGATTGAAAAAAGACACGCAAGACATCAATAAATGTCATAGCAGCAGTGCTCAAAGCTTTTCGCTTGGAGGGCTGAACGTGTAAAACGATACTCGGCCACGGGACAATAGTGCACTTGGACATTTATTATTTAGATAATGACCTCATTTAACACATGCACACAGCTACACAACAGTCATGCAGTCGAGCACACGTGCAAACAAACAATAGAATTAACACGCTGACCTTCTGATATTAACACTGACCTTTGAAAGCAATCTTTCCTCCCAGCGTGCATCATCAGATCAATAATCATTGCTGCCAGGTGATGCTCAGAGCATTATCGGCCTGTTGCAGGCTCAGTGACGATGCACACACACACACACACAACACACACACACACACACACACAGCAAAGTCCATGTCAAATCCTAAATGTCAAAACCGTGTGCCGTGTGTGAAATGTGTACGATTGTAGTAATTCTCATTGTAATGCAGTGAATTAAATTCACACTCTGAAAACGCGCCACCACTCAGCATTGTCTTGCTGACCATAACTAATTGTTAATCAGTGTTTTGTGTTATGTGGTTAGAAGCACTGTGAGCAAGTGTGAAAAGCAATTAACTGTTCAATTTCCATTGCTCTCACTGTATTACTCCTTAATTTTTCTGGCTGCCTTTTTTTCTCCCCGTTTTGCCCTCTTCATCTTAAGCCTTACACCCCTACCACATGAAGGCAGGCAGCTCGGCCATCTCTCTTCGATTTCCTTATCCAATCAGAAGCAGACCCCATTACCACAGTTTCCTAGTCAATGACTTCTCATTTAGACCACACTCCCCTGATCTTCAGCTCATTGAGGCCTTGATGGATGACCTGTCGAATATGCATATTTGTGTGTGTGTGTGTGTGTGTGTGTGTGTGTGAAGACAGGACTTTCCTATCCCATGTGAGAACTCCAGACAGGTGGAATGAGAAAGTAGATTTAAAGGGCTATTGGGTCAGAGTCCCCAAACCCTCCCATCCTTAAATGCTTTATGCTCGTTTTTGTGAAGAAGAATTTCTCACATGGATCTCCTCCAATAAAGCTGATTGCAAAAAAACACCTTCTGTGCATTTTATGTTTGGCTCCAGTGGCAACATTTCCAATTTATCAGATTGCATGACTATAGTAATGTTAAGGAAGTTTTCTAATTACATTTAATTTTAAAGATTTCGAACACTTTTTCTGTATGTGCATATATTCATATTTAACTTTGCCTGGTACACACAGACCCTATTCTCTCTGTTTGGGATGTTTGGTTTGTTTGCAATTCTCTTTGATACATCCCAAAAAAAGCAAAACTAGTCAAGTTGTTTACCACCGTGGGAGTCGTGTCGAATTGTTTGTTAACTGTCATAATGAATAACCAATCTCAGCTCACAGCGTGAAAACAACACGACTTTAAAATATTAAATTATCAACGACTACTTTAGCACCAGTGGTTCACCCACAAGATAAATAATCGCGTCGCCGAAACACTACTGCACTTAAACAAGTCCTACAAAAACAGGCGGTAGACACGAGGAGAGTTTTCATCAAGAAGAACGTTTTTCCTAACTCATCTAAAACAATCAACGGTGGTGACTGTGCCTAATTTGTCATTACATATAAAAAGAAAACCTTTTTACTGACGATTCCTCCCTCGATGTTGCTCTTAAATGCAACAGTAATGAGACGCTTTTGTAAATTGAGTAAATGGAACGAATACTACAAACAGACGGACCGCTCTGTTCATCTAATCTTGCAATCCAAACTTTTCGTGACGAGGGACAGTAAATCTTTGCTCCTTGGGAAAAAAACGTCCACTTCCACACTAATTCTGAGCAGATTTTTAGTGTCTGCAAGAAAAATGCCCCCCGAGCAGCTACTGACGATGACTTCTGAGCGTTCTGTTGATGCATAGACGTCTCTCAAAGTGCATTTCATAGAGGAAATGTGGGAGCTTCTCAAAGATGGAAACATTTTAATTAAGTTGCAGAATGGTTTTTAGACAGTGTGAGGTTATCTGGAATAATAAAAAAAAAAAGTATTAAATGATTATTTTTTTCCCCTGTGAGGCTTCATTATAATTCCAGTTGCAGGTTGAGTGATGCCTGATGGCGGCTAAAGTACAGTAAAGGCAGTAATCTGTGACGGCATAAACATATTATGTAGGAAATAAAATTAGAATCTGGAATCAGTGGGGAAATAAGCTCTGCCTTTATACATTTTTAATAATCACTAACCTGATGGTAAAATTTCAACATGTTGTTGAACACGGATTCAGAATCGTATCAGTTTAGCATCATTTCCTGCCTAGTGAGAAAATACCAGAAGATGCTCCAGGAAATGGAAACTACCGTATATTCCAGACTATAAGTCGCGTTTTTTTTCATAGTTTGGCTGGGGTTGCGACTTATACTCTGGAGCGACTTATGTGTGAAATTATTAACACATTAATACTAAAAGCTAGATGGCCACAGCTAGAAGAACGAGTTCGCACATCGGCGCTTCAACACCGTGCTGCCGGGAGAATGCGCCGTGCAACTTTCCTGGAAGTCGTTGGATGGATCTGGATTGGAACTGCAACTGACGATGAGTCTGACGTAAGTGACGTAGAAGAGGAAGCGCCGCATCTTCTACCTCCGGAGTTAGCGGAGTTGTTTCAAAGTGACACCGAGGATGAAGATTTTATTGGATTTTAGTTATTTGGAGTGACACGGGTGGTTTGGTAAACTTCTTAGCACGTTATTTATGCTATAGTTATCTGAATAACTCTTAATATGTTATGTTAACATACCAGGCACGTTCTCAGTTGTGTCATGTAACGTAAGCGTACTGTACAATTATTCAGCCTGTTGTTGCCTCTATTCTATTTTTATTTTAAATTGCCTTTCAAGATGAGATGTCTGTTCTTGGTGTTGGATTTTAGCAAATAAATTTCCCCCAAAAATGCGACTTATACTCCAGTGCGACTTATATATGTTTTTTCCTTCTTTATTATGCATTTTATGGCTGGTGCGACTTGTACTCCGGAGCGACTTATAGTCCGGAAAATACGGTATTACAATGTTAGCAGTGTTGGTCAGCATGACGACAGCAGAGTCACATATGCTTCACAGATCACTATGTCCTGATCACAGTCATTCTTTAGTCAAAGGAGAAGAAAAGAGAACTTCACCACAAATGCTCTGTGTGCTATAGAGACCACATAAAGCATAATTAACCCTTTACCAAAACTCTATGAAATGTCATTGTTCATTTCTTCTTCGCTGTTTCCTTCTGTTCCTGGCAAATATCACGCAATAAAGCGTCTCCTTTTTTCGCCTAGCAGTGCACCTCAGGACTTAGAAAGGTGCATTGTCCTTTTGTTTTATCCCTTAGAGAGAGGAACCAGACCGGAGACAGGCCAATCCCAGCTCAACGACAGGAAGAAACAGCACAGAAGGCTCAAGGTTCGGAGGTTATTATGGATTGTTTCAGGTCACAGAAGATGACGTAAGACCTGCAGGGTTGCTCAAATGTCAGCACATGAAGTGTCATCGGGAATTGTTCCAAGCTGCTGGAAAACTGTGTTGACACTCTAGTGTTTGTGTTAATTATATATTTGTGTTTTTCTTTTCTTTTCTTTTTTTTTTCTTTGTGTACGCAGCATGAGGAAGCCGTGCCTGTCGGTAGATCACTGCTACTTCCCAGCACTGAGAGCACATCCTGTGGTGGCAAACAACACTTGATTTACTGCTGCGCTTGAGTCTTACGGTGAGGCCACAGCGCCACCTGGCCACCGCCATGTGCCACTGCAGCCGACCACAGCTCCACTCAAGTTAGCTTTAAAACAGTCAGACAGATGGAGGAAAGCAAGAGGTTGATTCCGGTGGAACAAGCCCAAAATTCCTAATTGTAATAGCTAAGTTTTACCTGTGAAAGAAAACAGATTGATGTGAAAGTTTATCTGAAACAATGCTGAAGAGAATCTAATGTTGTTATCTGCCTTATGGTGGCATGTTGTTGTTTTTTCTGGCACAAATAGTTGACTGTCAGTTTTGACTTTCTTCTAACTTGTTGGTTTAAGAACTGTATTTGAGCTTTACTGTCTATTACATTGTGACAGAAATTCCTCTTTTGGTGTGCATGGCTTTGGCTTATGACTTTTTTTCTTCTTCACAATCGTATGTAGTCCTGTTTCCTCCCCGTGTCTTTTGTCAGTCCTGCTTTGCCTCCTCTTTTGTCTATTGTTTTCCCTCCGTTCACATACCTTGTGCCTGATTTTTTTCTTTGTGCTTCTTCAAGTTTGTGTTTTTGCTTTTGGATTTGTTTGAGTTTCCTCTGGATTTAGTTATTTTAGACAATACTCTGACTTTTAGTTTGGAATCTTTCCTGGACCTGCAGTCCAGTTTGTCTGCTTTTTTGTTAAATCTGTCCCTTGACTTTCAACTTTCGGTTCTTGGCCTGGCTTTGGTTGCACCATTTTGGGTTCTGACCTGAACATCATTAGCACCGTTGCCGTCGCAACAAGAAGGTTGCCGGTTCGCGTCCCGGTGAGGACACCCGGGATCTTTCTGCGTGGAGTTTGCATGTTCTCCCCGTGCAGCGTGGGTTCTCTCCGGGTTCTCCGGCTTCCTCCCACACAGTCCAAAAACACGTTGAGGTTAATTGGTGATTCTAAATTGTCCGTAGGTGTGAATGTGAGTGTGCTTGGTTGTCTGTCTCTAAGTGTAGCCCTGTTATTGTTTGTGCAATGCAGGCTTCATGTTTCCACATCCCACTTGTGTAAGTTGCCACTTGGACCAGGAGTGGCCTCCTAATCAGCTGTAATGTCACAAATCCTTCTTGTAGGTACACATCTTGTCATATCCTGGTCAAAAAACTGCGACAAAAGTGGGAAAGGACGTGCAAAATGCCAGCAAAAGAGGATTTATTAACTCAAGCAATAAAGTACATCCGGTGTTGCATCGCTGATAAAAGTGATGTAAGCAGAAGCGTGATCACAGCAACCAAACAAAACGAAGCCCAACTTGGCTGCAGCTACAAGCGGGGTGGAGAGTAAGAGAACATGCAGAGGGTTGGGATTTTTTTTTTTTTTATAGCTGGGAAACACTGGGGCCGAGCTTTCCTGGACAGCACCCCGATGATCTGATAACAAACTATCAGAAATACTTCGAATGCGCCCAACCCTGCCTGCTGGGAAAGGCCGAGCACTCTCCTCTCATAAAGTCTGCACCCCAGCAAGGTCACCAGAAGGATGTACTGGCTACTAGCCTACCGCCGCACCAACAACCACCACCTGACATACTCAAGCTGGCACGTTCAGAGTCCACACGTTTGTGCAACACCTGATAAGCCATGTTATCACAGGAAGATCTGACAATGTTCCAAAGAGCTTCTTGTCAGAAATGTTGGGCTTTCTTTCCATAAAACCTTCAGCGTGATTGAAATCAGGTGACAGTGTTTGTTTTTGTCTTTAAAGCTTTGAGGTGTGTTTGGGTTCATTATCCCCAGACACCCCTTGGATACACCCTTCTGTTACTGCCAGAACTCTCAAACTTCGATTTTTTTTAGTCAGTAGGACTTTTTTCCCCCCCAGTCGCCCACTGAGAAAGGCTGCTGTGTAGTCTGGTTTTCCCTGCTGACAAGTGGTCGAGAGGCCACCAGTCATCCTCTGAGAACAGCTTTTCAGTCTTTGTTTAGCAAATTCTGTGATGAAGCTGCTTTTGTGTGTCTCAGCGAACAGACTTTGATGTATTGATCCTCTGAGGGTGCGCTCACTTTTGGTCTGCCTAATCATGATTTTGATCACAACTGATGCAGTTTGTGCAAAGCATTTTAAAGTGCCATCCGCTGCCCCCCTTAGAGACCTTCCGTCTGGCCATAATATGATGCTGAGAAAGCCCCTCTTTGTTTGGAATAACAATTCCACTTCTGACACTTTCACTTAGTTCTGACGGCATGCTTCCCCGCTATCACAACACTTCATTGCGAGCGATGCTGCTTGGAAACCCTGAGCCACGGCCATATTTGTGACAGGTGAACAAGTGGATTTACTTGAACAAGCTTCTGATGAGTGGATCAGATCCTGCCATTGTCTAGTGTCATTTGAACGTGTGCTTCAGCGGAAGGGAAAGGAAACCTGACGTTTTGTGCCAAAGGAGCGAACACGGTCGGTGACACAAATTTGCTGATGTTGATCCAGATGTTATGTGTAAATCTTGAATCTGACGGAGCTTCTTGTGTTTTTAAATGTTACTTAATCATGTGATAATTTAAAAAGTGTACTTAAAAATTGGGCTGCAGGGTGGCGCAGTTGGTAGCACTGTTGCCTCGCAGCAAGAAGGTTGCCGGTTTGCATCCCGGTGGGGGCACCGGAATCTTTCTGCGTGGAGCATGGGTTCTCTCTGGGTTCTCCGGCTTCCTCACACAGTCTAAAAACATGCTGAGGTTAATTGGTGATTCTAAATTGTCCGTAGGTGTGAATGTGAGTGTGCTTGGTTGTCTGTCTCTAAGTGTAGCCCTGTGATAGATTGGTGACCTGTCCAGGGTGTCCCCTGCCTTCGCCCTGAGTCAGCTGGGATAGACTCCAGCCCCCCACGACCCAAGTGAGGATTAAGCGGTGTATGGATGGATGGATGGACGGACTTAAAAATTGAAGGTGCAGAGAAGCAGCACTGACTAAAACACATATTCATCAGGACTTTCATGTAATGTGCCGATGCTGATGACCTCATGGAAAGTCCTGAGCTGAGAAATCGATTTTTAATGCATTTTAAAGCAGTTTTATTGAATCATTAGAATTTATATACAGTATATTTTTTCGGTGATTTGATTTGAAATTGCCGTCGCATTTAGACAAAGAATAGGACAGGGCGCCACGCGGCCTGTGTAATGAGGTGACATGGTTCTTTGTTTACTCAGTTATTTTCTCCATAAACTTACACACATGTTGTAACACATGAGTTCACATGTTGTATCTAATTTTCTTCTTCGAGTACAACAATTCATAATTTTACTCCGGAATCAGTGCTTTTGAGGTAACGTCTAACACTCTGTGCTGACTGTTAAAAAAAAAAAAAAAACTGACAATGAATGTGTGAAAACCCAACGTGTGGGATGCTGGTAAAAATGCTGTTCCATTTTTTTCTCAGTGGCACAGACTCAGTATGGTTGCTTCTGCTACCAGGGACCTGCAGTGTAATGTGTGTGTGTGTGTGTGTGTGTGTGTGTGTGTGTGAGTTTTTGTAAAAGAAAGAGAGCGTTGGTATGTTGTATCTTGGTTTCATCACTTGAGAGAGACTTCCAATAACTCACTTTTTTAATATTGGTTGTTATATTTAGTTTCTGCATGTCTGTCTTGATTTTATCAGATGAAAGAAATGTTCTGAATATTGTACGTGGGAGTGTGTCTGAGTGTGAATATTTACTTTTATGGTAATATGTTTCATAGCCGTGCTGTATTGTCAGGATTCACTGCATATGCTTTTAAAGGATTATAATTAGAAAAAAAAGAAGCTAGTGTGAAGCTTAGACAGATCTTTTTTGAGACAGGGTTTTTTACTTTCTTTGTTCTCCAAAAAAAAATCTCTGTTCACATGAAAACATAAAAAAACAGAAGTGAAGCAGCATCAAAAGCACGCCAAACCGTAAGCCTAAAGCCGTGTCGACCAATCAGAAGCCCTGGGAAAAAAAAAGAAGCTGTTCCTGATTCCAACAAGGGTTCATCTAGAAAGAGAGGAATCATATGTGTGGGCTGATTCTGATGCTTCTGGTCCTCAAAACAGGTAAAGAGACACTTCAAACTTATCTGTTAAAAAAAAAAAGCCTGTTAGCAAGATGAGCAGCAGCACTATTTTGGCCACATCAACCACTGCAAAAAAAAAAAGCCTCTTGTAAACAAATTAGATAACAGCACACACCGAGTCTCACAAGAAATTGTTTTCCCTGTCGACACATCAACAATGCAAATGGAGTTTCTGAAAGTCTTCACGTTGGAGGAAGTTTTCCCAAAGGTCAGTTTTCAGTGACTTGATTTGCATGTTTCTGAAAGGACACAATACACAGATAAAGCTACATTTTAAGGAGGACAAGACTGTTACGAGACAACCACACAACACAAGCTCAAATCTCACGAGGCAACAGTGACCCTCACTGGTGACAGACAGGAACAGAAATTGTGGATTTGCTTTAG